ATTCCCATCGAAATCCAAGCGGCTTTCGTCCAGGACTTCGGAGAAAAAATTGACATTATTGACTTTATCGACCCTCTGCCCCCCCATGTGGCAAGAAGGGACGACTACTACCTGATGTAGGCTATCGATATCCCAAAGGGCCAACCATTTTTGGTTGACGACATAATCCCCTTCCGGGTCGGGGAAAAGGACTTCAAGATACACACGGCCCACAAGCTACGCCCCTGGTGTTTCAAGTGCCAAGCCTATGGTCACCTATACACCGACCCTGTATGCTCCTACCACCCGGTCAACCAAGTTAGGGCCACAGGGCGTCTAATTCAAGACCCCTTTAGGAGTACACACTGGCGCACCGTAGACCCGGGGCATGAAGGGTGGGTTTACGCTGATAAGGCAGGCAAGGGAGGGGAAATCATAGGATGGGTGTGGGAGGGAGCGGGAAATCCTAATCTCAATTCCAAACCCCCACCTACCTGGACTCCCCCGAAGACGGTAGAAGCCCACCTACAGCCGCAGGGGGCCAACCCCGAACCACCGGGTACCAGCCGGAAGGAGAATCAGGACAACCAGGGGAGGAGGAAACTAGGCCTGACCCTAGAGGATTATCTAACGGGGCAGCGGACCCAACTGCAGCCCAAATCTCCGAAAAAGGGGCAACGAGGTGGTCCACTACCTCGGACCAAGGAAAATAGTAAGGGTAAGGAAGAGGCAGTGGGTCAAAACAAATTCTCCGTATTGGCCATAGAATCAGATGAAGGAGAAGCAATGAGTCAAGTACGTCAGCAGGCTCAGCAAGTCGAACAAAACGGAAAAGAGACATGCATGCAACATTCCAGCCACCTGCAATCCATCATGGGCATGAGGGACCTCTATGGTGATGTACTGGAGCGGTCTGTAGAAGGGAGGGACAACCCGACAGACCTCGAATTAGTACAGAACCCCACCCCCTCGACCCTGCAAATCACAGACTGGATCATGACAGGTCTTCAACCGCTCTACGCAGAGGCCCCGACGGATTTCTCGCCCCAGGCACACGCACAATTGAGGGGTGCCCTCGAGGACATCGTGAAGGTGAGGTGCATTCTGGAACAAGGCCTTCCGAGCCACACTCGATGGGATGAGGTGCTCCAAAGGCTTTTCAAAATTTCGGCAGCACATTTCCAGGTACCGACAAAGGGACTACAAGCGGTACAAAACCACCTGCCAGCCAAACCTTCCAGCGAACAGTCGGCCGAAGATGGCGAGCAGACTGCAGTCCTGCAAGTGGTAAAGACGGGGGAGGCAGCAAACAGGGTAGGTAGGGAGATGGGATCTAGGGGGAACAGGGATGAACGGACAACCACCCTTGAAGAAGGGAAGCAAGAGATCCTCGCAGAGGATTACCTCGAAGAGGCTTTTGGGCCACAGCCCATGGAGATCGAGGAACCCTCAGTCCCCCTCCCCTCCCCCCCAGACGTGGCTGCGATGGACATTGACCCGAAGGAGGGCATGGGCGCACCACCGGCAGATATGGACACGGAACAAAAACTTAGAATTATCGTCGATTGGCTAATAGAGGGTTTCCGTAATCAGTACCCGGGCGTGGCATAGGACTTATGGGACTGCTCCTATGCCCAACTGTTTGCCATACTAGATAAGAGCCCGACCCTGTGAAAAACCCTAGAAGTCGGTCCCCCGTAACACATCACTTGGTTCGAGATCTTCCAACGAATTCGCCACCTCACAGCCCAACAGTTTCACCCCTCAGTGCATCACCAGCCACCACCGGAAGACCTTGAGGAGAACCGATCTGTGGTTCCGTCCGATGAACGCCACAAAAAACTTAGACATATGGTGGAAGCAGGCCAATATGAAAAAAAACTGTTGTAGAAAGAAGGGGTGGCAGTCCTACCCCTGAGATATGCGGACGATAGGATGGAGATTGGGTTCTCTCCACTGCAAGGAGGGTTCACACTGCCAGGGTGGGCCTTCTACAACATCGGGTCCATCCCCGGCCTGAGAGATAGTGACTTTGAGAAAAAGGCAGATCATTTTCTACACCAGCACTACCCGACCGGAGTCCTAGCAACCCGCCCCCAATTTGATGGATTGATGAGGGTAGCCACCACATACCTGTACGTTCTCTTTGAGGAGGATAAAGACTCCAATTTGAAGTGGTTCAACCATGGAGACCTGATGGAACTCCCCCTCCAACAAGTGAAAGCCAATCCATTGTGGACGGAGGAGGACTTACGCATGTGCTTATTGAGGGCGCTCCGGTATGGGCTGCTATATACAATAGACTGGTCTGCCAGGCCATGGATTAGAGTCTAGATTTGGGACGACGACAGACAAAACTATACTAATGGACGAAATCGATACATTGTACTGCAGAAACCCGCACTCGAAACATTGCTTCCATTACGAAGATCTAGATATAAGGACCCTCAGTGTAAATGGATTGGCCTCCTTCAACCCTTCGAAAAGGCAGGCGATCTGGACCAGCTAAAGGGTGTGAGGGGCAAGACGTGGACTGACGTCATCTGCGTACAGGAAACCCATCTAATGGATAAACCAGAACACCACCGGACCCATAAAACAATCTGGCCTCATCAGGCCTACAGGGCGCATGCGGTTTCCCCAGGGTCGGCAGGGGTGGCCATTTGGATCCCGCTATCGGGGCAAGTACCCTGACAAGGGTATTTGCCTGGGTTTTTGAACGTCGGACGTCCAACTCTTTCGTTGTGTTGAAGGACTTGATGAGACTGACGTTTGTCAAAAGTTTATTCAGACCTGACCTGTGACTGAGAGACTAAAAGTTTTCAAGCTTTAGTTCGGGCGCTTGTGGCGTCCGAGAGTAGTGACAGTAACTGGCAATGCTTTGCTTTTGTCGAAGCTCCAGAGGTACGAGGTCATGGGATCGCTAAAGCAAGACCTATCTTACCTAAAATACTGACGTGCGGCTGCTAAGCCGCGCGATTCAGAGCCTAAGTAGGCTAAAACGAATCATCGCGTTGGTTGTGTGACCGTGGCACAAAGGAAGTGGGTATGATTTTGGGGGCCGCGCGACTGTTCCATACGGAGTGCTTCGTGCGGTTGGTTGGCAGGACGCACGACTGCCAAGGTGCGTTACTTGCCGAGGCGACGTCGGCGGCGCGGATGTATGGCAAGGAGGCGGTTAGAGCCTACCTTAGCTACGGTAGAGAGCGGCCTACTGGGCCTTAACCCTTCAAGTAGAAAGGTTGCGGTTTCTTCTCTCGTGATAGGAGCTAGCCCAGTAGGTACTGTGTTCGACTTCCACCCAGCAGATGCTGGGATCAAGCCTGACAATGTGCACCAACTGGTGCTCTCTCCTTTTGGAGCTGGTGCTTGGTGACACGACCAATCTCGGTCGTGCGATCTTAGGATCGCACGGCTGAGATCACTCGCGCGGAGCATGGCCCCTCCACAAAGATGACACACGCAAATCGAAAAACGGCCAAACTTGTTTTTTCCCTTGAACTCCGATCTACATTTTCACAACGACGTGGTTGAAAAGCTACGTAAGGCGACGTGACCGTTGGAAAAAAAAAAAAAAAAAAAACAGAAACAGAGGCGCCAACTGGTGCAATCCTAAGTGGTTGGGAGTTGTGACTCGCAACAGGCGTATCAGGTGCCTCGTCAAACGGACGACCGTTTTAAAGGTAAGTTATTATTTTTTTTTTAAGTTTTTGTCGATTTTCTTTATTTTCTTTTTCTTTTGGACTTCATTTTAGATTCTTTCATTTTCTTAAGATTTTTCTCTCTACTCGTTTTCACGAACTACGTGAACGGTCGTTCGTTTTGGCAAAACGCCTGCACCACCGCAGAAAAAATAAATAAAATTAAAAAAAATAAATAAAAAATGAAGTGCCAGGTGGCGCGTAAAGAACAGGTTGGGACTTAGAGTCCCCATGAGCAATAGCAGGTGCCTAGGCAGCCAAATCTATTGCAGGGAAGTTCGTGTTTTTTTTTCCTCTCTCTTCTCATATTCCTTTTTAGATTTTTTTTTTTTTTTTTTTTTTTTTTTTTTTTCTTTTTTTTTCTTCTTTTTAGTGCTTACTTGTATTGAAGGTCGACTGTTCGTGTAACAGCGAGGGAGGTGGGGATCCAAATGGCCGCGTATCTTTCCACGATCTGGCAACAAATTTGTGAAAAGTCTAGTACGGGAGAGCATGACTTATCGATTCTTTAGCGTTTCAGGATTCTGTGCGAAACCAAACAGGGTGGAGATTCGGTACAAGGGAAAAAACGAGGAAAACGTATGATCCAGCGATTTCTCGTACAGGTCCATGCAAAGCTACGAGTCGTAAACAGGCGGGAAATAGAAGAAGGCGGTTATTAACAGTGCGTTGTCTCGAATTTGGGCCTGTATGTCGTCAGTGGAACTTGTCGAAGTTCCCCTGCTGACTCTGAGTAGGGAACTGAGGTTACTCCGGTATCCACGAGATTTTTTTACTGGGACTCTAAACCAGTTCATTGGAAGGAAGGCACCAGAGTGGGAATGGTTTCGGAACTTAGGTTAGAACTGTCGGGTGACATCGACTGTATTTAGGGGTTGGTGGCACCCGACCCTCCCACCAAAGGGTCGCTGCCCCCAGATGATATCATCGGTATTGGCGCCGATTGAAACGCGTAGGGGAATTGTCAGAGTTCCGACAGTATCGGGGGAAAGGAGTGACAGGGTATTGTCCGCTTTGCCGACACTATGGGGGAGGTTGAAGACGGGATATTGTCGGATTCTTGTGCTTAAAGACTATCTATTTTTCGATCATTGGTTGGCACCCTGTTGGGTGTCAAGCACTGAGGACTCGTGGAGTGTTTTGCATGGTGCATCCGCCTGTGCATGGCTACGCATGATTACTTCATTGCTTCAACAACGCAGTATGTTGCTCTCTCTCTCCACTATGACAAAGGCGTTGTAACCTGCCGAGGGAGCCGCTCGACGATTGGTGAGAGCGAAGTTAGTAGGCGCAAGGGAACGATATGCGTACGGAATGAGTGAGACGAGAGTACGACGTGAAGATTGAAAGGAGTACGAAGGAGCTCTGATCGAACAGAAGAAAGAGGCGAGTTGATTGTAGGATAAGGACGAGTGAGTGAGGTGAACGGAAGTAGGCGCAATGGACCAAAGCGGCCAAGTTGGTGGAAACAACCAAGGAGGAGGTGGTGCTGGGTGGAATGGAGGCGGAGGTGGGAACTGGGGACCACCACCACCATGGTGGGGAAACTGGAACGGGGGTGGTAATGGGGGAGGGAACGACGGAGACAACACGTGGGGAGGAGGAGGTAATGAACCATTGGGAGGTGAGAATTATAACGGTTGAAACAACGGGGGATATGCACCAAGGAGGCAAGTGCGTTGCTATAATTGTGGCCAGTTCGGGCACTATTCACGTGACTGCCCGATGCCGAGGCAAGGGGGTGGCAACTTTTATCAAGGAGGGAATGGGCAACAAGGAGGAACTGGAGGTGGAGGGAGTGGCGCCGACACTCAAGTAGCCAGAACTGGGGTGGCTACAGCACCAGTCGTCAAACTTAGTAAGGAGCTTGAAGAGTCGTTCGGCGCTATGGCTTCCTTTTTTAAGTTATCGTTAGATGAGAAGAATAGAGCGGAAGCAGCGAAAAAAGAAAAGGAGGAACGGAAGAAACGTGATGAACAGGAGAGGATTGAAAAAGTTGAGATTACGAGAGCCGAGCTGGCAAAGAAAGAAGAGGAACAAAAGAAAGAGGCGGATCGCGATTGGACCATTCCGAAATTGTTCAGTGAGCAGCGGGTGTTCTTACAAAAAGAAGTCAAGAAGGCAGTTAACGAGGAGATACACGACATGGTTAATAAAAAAGGGAAGAAAGTTATGGAAGGGGATGAGTGCGAAGAATGGGAGGAAGAGCAGGAGGAGGAAGAGGAAGAGGAGGAACTGGCGGCATCAAGGAGACGAAAGAGAGTACCCACACAGGAAAGGAAAATGGATAATGGCTCTCCGAACGAAACTCCTCCGAAGGCAACACGTGGGAACTGTTCACGACAACCCGTTTTCCAAGTTGCCTCACCAGTGGAGCAGGAGAGGAAAGGAAGGGGTCGACCCAAGAAGAAGGATACGGGCTCCTTGATTATGGATCCATGGGGAGGAGCACCGTGCTCGGCCGACTTCAGGAACAAGGTAAGTTATGAAATTGCGGTGGTAAAGTTTGTCGGAAAGAAGTTGTGTCCGAAATTGAAGGAGATGTGTAAGAAGGAAGGCGCTGCATGGAGAGGGAAGAAGGATGAAGCGGTGGAGGAATTAGCTGAGTTAAGGGTTATGCAAAGCGTGTTCGAGTCGCACGTGCACCTAGGCTCGGTGCAATGAGCAGCCCGGGTGACCGTACCAGTTGGTCCGACTGATAGGGCTAACGAGGTCGGCACGATAGCGCTGACAGCCGGGAAGGGGGGGCTGAGTCAGCCGCAGGTATGGGGGTATCTGAGGGAAGTATTTACAATTAGGGGGAATCTGGGATTGGATAGGAAGTATTTGAAGATAGTTAGAATTTTAAATAATCTCTGCCAATTGTTGTTGTTTTTTCTGGTTTCAAAGGGGTGTATCACGTATGCTAATAAGTTCCGGGGTCTGTTGATAGAGGCCTTTGGCATTAACCCCAAGGAATGGCTTGATGCCAGTTCATGTGTTTATGTTATTTTAAGTCCTTTCAGTCGAAAATTCTACATTGGGAAAACTGAGCGCCTTCTGGAGGTTAGATGGCGGGAACACGTAAGGAATAGTGAGCAGTCGGGACATGGTAATCAACTGTATTCATGGTTGGGGAAGTTTGGATGAAAGGGGTATATTGCTTTACCTCTGGTATTGACTAAGGGAGATGAACTTTTGTGGGTCGAAGGGATGCATATTCGCCAATGGTCACCATGCCTCAATAGTAAAGGAGGTAGAAAGTCGGGAAGGAGGGGGAAGCGGAAAGGGTGTCGGGCCAGGAAGAAGGACACGAGGCATGTACCTTGCGTATCAGGAGCATCAGGCAACATTGTGAGATTCAAAGCGAGGGATAGGGAGTATTGGGATTTGATTAATTTGTTGGAGGCAGGGGTACGAGACTTTCAGTCGAAAAAAAGAAAGTGGTGCGTGACAAAGTGGTCGGTTATTAAGAGGAAGTTTGGGTCAACCGTGGTGAGAGTGAAAGGAAGTGTGAAAACACTTAAAGACTGTAAAAATGATTTGCAACAAGGTGTCCGGGTTCGGGTAATAAGGCTTGTGCAGGGGAAATTCGGACTAACGAAGCATAAAAATTTGTTGATTCGCCTGTTGTCGATTCCCTGGACAGCAAAAGGATTGTACAAGCTACCATTGGAGGACCTTGTTCGTTTGTTTCAGGCAGCTAGAACCTTTTCTAAAAAGGCAACTAGGAAGAAGGTTAAGAGCATACTAGATGGGGTCTTGTCTAAGAAATTTTGGATTAAGCTGAGGAGGCGTATCGTACTTGGGATTACGTTTAATGAGGGTATATCAAAGAGAGAAGTACATCGTCTTGTGAAGGAATGGATTAAGGAACAGTTCCCAGAGTGTGTGAGTAAGGTCATTTGTAGTCGTTTACGTACTGTCGGGAGGAGCAATCCATCAGTAGGGAAACTTCTGCAGAACCACAGATCTGCTGCACAGAATGTGGTAGGTGTCTGCCCATGTGCATACTCGGATCTCCCGAAGGTGGTGGAGCACTTGACTTGTAAGCTAAGCTCTGTGTGCTGTATTCCTGAGGTCGTGGTCAACGAGAAAAACGTGGTAATGAGAGAAGGAGGGGACCTAGTGAAGGAAGTGACGAAGGAAATTAATGACTCATTTCTCAAATTTGGGTTGACGAAATGGGTAACACCGAGTGAAGTCATGAGTGTGCTGACTTGTTCCAACGGAAGTAAGAAGAAAGTTGTACGGGCTGATGAGCTGGAAGTATGGAAGAAGGTGTTGGTGAATTTTGTTAGAACCCCGCTCGATAAGAACCCAGTTGAAACTCTAGTTATGTGTCCAAAGAGATATGCAACACGGATGCGTGATATGTTCTGAGGAAAAGGCAGTTTTGAACTTGTGACTTGCGATGAACAGGATGTGCTGGCGGGGTGCAAAGCCAAATACCAAGAGGAAGGATTCGGGGAAATTGGGAAGTGGGATGGGAAAGGGAGGTTGGGAAGGGCATATGCAATTCCCAAGTCGAGACAGGTGGGGCAACGAATCGCAAGGGCACTGAACGAGATGATTCTGATAATTCCACCGTCATGACACTTTAATTTGCGCTCTGTGGGTGATCTGAAGGATAGGATAGATAAGATAACTAAATGGGCGCAGGCAAAGAGTAAGGGAGGGAAAGTCAACGGGTGGTCATTCGACGTTAAAAAAATATTTAACGAACTTCCACATTCGTCGATCAAAGTGGCGGTCCAGTGGTTGGTGAAAGTGATGAGAAGGAAGGGAAGGAATGAATTGTTCGTAAGAAGGAGAGGGAAAGGGGTCTCATTCGCAAGACAGAGGGGCAATGAGTGACTTTTCATTAGTTTGGACCAGATTAGGAGGTTTGTGAAGTACGAGTTGGACAACACGTACTTGGTCGCCGCAGGGCGAGAGAAGGTTAACAACAGTCGTATTTTTCATCACCACTTCAGGACACCCTTCACCACTTCAGGATGCAACCTGCCTAAACAGGTTGTTTTCAGGGTCTTCGGACCTTTCACCACTTCAGGACCATTCAGGTATGAAAATCCTGAATGGTCCGTGAAAGCTCCGAAGACCCTAAAAACCACCTGTTTAGGCAGGCCGCATCCTCAAGTGGTGAAGGGTGGTTTTCATGGTCTTCGGACCTTTCACCACTTCAGGACCATTCATGATTTTCAGACTGCCCAAAACTCTCACTTGACCACTTCAGAACACCCTTCAACACTTCAGGATGCAGCCTGCCTAAACATGTGGTTTTCAGGGTCTTCGAACCGCTCACCACTTCAGAACCATTCAGGATTTTCAGACTGCCAAAACTCTCACTTCAGGATTTTCATTCATGAATTTTCAGCTACCCGATAACCACTTGTGCGCAGGGCGAGTACTTAGACAGGTAATGGGGGTCCCTATGGGGAAGAGTAGTAGCCCCCCGATTAGCCTGCCTACTTTGGGTATACAACGAAGCATGTTTTTTGGACTCATTGGGTAGGGACAGGAACCTCATCCGAGGAATTAGGCTGGTGGACGACCTCTCAATTTTTGTTTGGGATAGCGGCACAGTCAAGGGGGCTCAGCGGACAGAAGGGCTGTTGAAAAGGCTAGACAAGATCTACAACAAAAACCTGCAGTTAAAGAGAACGGATGAGGGGGAAGGATGTTGGGTGTTTTTGGGTTGTGATCTCAGGGTCTGTGCGAAACCAAACAGGGTGGAAATTCGGTACAGGAGAAAAAACGAGGAAAACGTATGGTCTAGCGATTTCTCGTACAGGTCCATGCAAAGTTACGGGTCGTACACAGACGGGAAACAAAAGAAGGCGGTTATTAACAGTGCGTTGTCTCGAATTTAGGCCTGTACGTCGTCAGTGGAACTTGTTGAAATGCCCCTGCTGACTCTGAGCAGGGAACTGAGGTTACTCCGGTATCCACGAGAAGTTTTTACTGGGACTCTAAACCAGTTCATTGGAAGGAAGGCACCAGAGTGGGAACGGTTTCGGAAATTAGGTTAGAACTGTCGGGTGATGTCGACTGTATTTAGCAGTTGGTGGCACCCGACCCTCCCACTAAAGGGCCGCTGCCCCCTGATGATATCGGTACTGGCGCCGATTGAAACGCGTAGGGGAATTGTCAGAGTTCCGACAGTATCGGGGGAAAGGAGTGACAGGGTATTGTCGACTTTGCCGACACTACAGGGGAGGTTGAAGACGGGATATTGTCGGATTCTTGTGCTTAAAGACTATCTATTTTTCGATCATTGGTTGACACCCTGTTGGGTTTCAAGCACTGAGGACTCGTGGAGTGTTTTGCATGGTGCATCGGCATGTGCATGGCTACGCATGATTACTTCATTGCTTCAACAACGCAGTATGTTGCGCTCTCTCTCCACTACTAAGGGTGCCGAAGAGTTACCATTGGGATAATCGGTCGTGGCCACCACGCTCATAGCGACGTTGCTTTTTGACCCTTCGGTGTCGAGCGCCTTTTGGTTGCGCCAAACACAGGCACACAGCAAGGGTACGAGTTTTGAAGAACGGACGAGGAAAAAAAAAACCCCGTGAGCTTGACTTTAGTTCGTCTCTGTGAAATGACTTGAGAGGGGTGACTGCTCGTTTTTGAAAACGAGCTGCCCCCTACACAGAGAAACGAGGGTAAAAGGAAAGAAAAAGGAAGAAAGAAAAGTAAGGGAAAAAAAAGAGGGGTAACGACCGCAGATGTGGTCAAGGTCGTGGAACAGGTGCAGCCCCTAGAAAGTTCTAGGGGCTGATGGGACTGCATCTGTTCAGCTGAACAGGCAGCAGTAAAGTGGCTGTATACAGCCATTTCCGGGAACACCTGGCCTGGGAAAACGGCCAAGTGCTTCTGGGGTTGATGACCTTGGTCCCCCTAGGGGAAAGCCAAGACTCCTAGCTCCTGACCGTTGATTTAGATCAAGGGCCAGGAGCACTTATGAATTTTGCTTGGCTGTGGGCAAGGCAGCTGGCCACATGCCTTCGACTAGCTATAAGAGCCAGCACTCCACCCAGCGGCCTCACACGTGTGGCAGTGCTGCTAGGGCATTCACTTGAGTGAATGCTGGTTGGCTGCTACTGTGGGGCGGTGCTGCTGGTGGAGTGGAGGTCTGCAGGGAGTTGGAGGAGGAGAAGGGAGGCAACCATCGCTGAGGGTTGGGAACTTTTTGCCCCACCCTTGTGCGTGTGCTGTGTGTGGGCTGGTGCTGCGGTGGTAAGGCTGCGTCAAGGTCCGGACGGTGCGGCAAGCGACACCTATTTTAGTGGGGTTATGCTGCCAGACTGCCGCCGCGGCGTCAAGACCTTCCTAAAGGAGGGTGCTATTGGATTTGCTGCGTGGCGCCAATGTTTTTCTTAATGTGAGTGTGGGGAGGTGCTGCTCGATTAGCGGCGTGGCAACGACAGTGTATCTGATGGGGCTACGCTGCTGAAATTTTGACTCGGCAACAATCTTTTTTTTATAGGGGAAAGTGGTGCCCATACGACGACATGGTAACAACAACGTATTCAACAGGGCAGTTATGCTACCGAATTTACGGTGCGGCGAGCGATAGGTCGACTTTTATTTCATGTGGTGTCCGACGGCTATCGTGGATCCCAGTATGGCCTAGAGGTTGGGCTGGCATTGATGCACGATTGGGTCTGTGCAGTAGCGGTGCGAGGACTGACAACGTGAAGATGGTACGGAGTGAGAGCTGGCGGCAATAGCTATTGAAGATGTGGCACTTG